GTTAAGAAAATCTAAATGTGATTTTTCATGTTGCAAATACTATTTCAAGTTGATTTGCTCCAGTCTTTCTGAAACATATACAGTACAATTAAACTGTATATATTCAGATGATATATATCTTTCCAAGTTTATAAAAATTTTCCTAAGCGAAAACAATTCTAAACAAGAGCAAGAGTACAGAAGGGTGAAGGAAAGGTGGCTGAGCACAGATGCAGTGGGTCTGAATGGTGTGGGGAGCTGGTAACTTGAGTGTGATGCAAGGTTGCTTTGGCATTATTCATTTGGCTTCCCATGTGCCGAGCTCAAAGTTACTAGCTGTAACTCCCTGGTTTTTCCTCCTTACCCAACTGCAGCAGGCTCTATTCCTCCTCCTAGGTGTTAAGGGACTTAGTCAATGATGTTTATACATGGCTCAGAGACTTTTTTTGGTACCCAGCAGTGTATAGCTCTAGAAAATTCTTTTCAATCTAAAAATGCCAGTTCTTTTCTGCTAGACTTTGGCAATGATTGGATGTGAATTTTGAAATTTGATTGTGGTTTCACTCCAAGTTCCATTTTATTTCTGATGGAGCTGCAATGTTTAATCTTTCTCAGAAACTGTCGCTTTTTTGTGTGTGCATGGCAACAAAATAGCTCCTATAATTGCCACCTGCACTCTGCAAGTACACAAAATATTGGGCTGGGGGGTTATCACCAATCCATACTCATACATAGGTAAGCTATTTCACTTACTGCAAAAATCTCCCAAATTGAAATCTTAGCAGGTTTAATGCACAAATTTATCTTCAGTCCCAGGGAAACCAGTTTTTAATAGGCTCGTTATCCATTTTAAAGCATGAATACTTTTTTCACAAAAGGATCATAAGCATTTCCTTCATATTTTTCAACTGTACCTTTGTGATTTAATAGAAACAGGTGAAAGATCTGTGTAACTTCCACATGTTGGGAGGTTGGTCCTTCATGATTAGATGTAAAATCCATCTCTTCAGATATTTTCTGGGCATTTGTTATGTGCAAAGCTTTGTACACAGGGAATGTAAAGATTAGTAAGACATTTTGCATTCATTCATTCGTTCATTCATTCATAGTGTATGAGTATGTGCTAGATACTGCACCTGACGATATACATAGACAAGACAGAAATTATCCTTGCTCTCATGGAGCTTATAGTCTTGGGCAGGGGTGGGACTGAAGAAAAAAAGTAAATAAACATATTTTTCAAAAAAGTTCTGTGATGGTAATCTATAGGGTATTATATTAATGGAAAGTTATGAGACATTACTTTCCTTGTCTGGTGATTGGAGAAGATATCTTTTAAAAGATGCCATTCTGTTGAGAATTGAAAGATATAAAACAACCACCTGCAAAGGCAATGGGATGGCATGTATGAAGCCCTCAGGCCATGGAGATGATTCTGCCAATGTTGTAGGAGCTTCAGGAACTAGGGGGAAAGAGACATGGTATGAAAAGGAGAGGTAAGGAGGGACCAACATTTACCTTCATTGCAATAAAAAACCTTTGAAAGGATTTGGGCAGGGCCCTGACCTTATCCAGCTAAGTTATTAAATGATCTTGCTAGCTGCTATATTGGAAAGAAATTGAGAAGATTCCAGTTTCTCTCAGTATGGCAGACAAGGTCTTCTAAACACCCCCTTTTTTGTAAAACAGCTAGAAATATTGCATTTAAAAATAAATGACTTTTAAAATGAATTGCTGAGTTGGTAAGAAATTCTCAGAGGCCAAAATTGAAGTTAAAACAGGAATCCAGAGAAGAAAGGAAGCCAGCTCTGCAGCTGGCGGCTGCCCATGGTAACATCCAGAGTTGGAAGGAAAAGATATATCTAAATGCTAGCGTACTTGGATAATTTCTTAAAAAATAAAGTTAAATTACTACCTTATACTTTCCCCAAATATAAATCTTAGATGAATAAAATATTTAAATGTAAGAATAAATTAAACCCTAAAAGTACTAGAAGAAAATATATGCAAATAGTTTTTTAATGTTGGAATGGAGGACTTTCTAGATATATCATCAAAGGTAGGACTCACAAAAGAAAGTTTGGTATAAGGGATTACATAAAGATTGAAAAAAATTAGTATAGCATCAAAACATTATACTTTAAAGGACAAATTAAAATTGGGAAAATATAGGTATAGGCAAAGGGTTAATATTATCAGGATACAGGGAGCTATTACACACACAACAAAAAATCTTTCCAATATAAAGTGTACTCTGGAAAAATGAGCAGAGATTTAAAACTGGCAGTTCAGGCAGTCAAAAAGGGATGAACCCAAATTGATCATATTAAAAAAAGCTTTAAAAAATAATTCATGAGTAATAAAGTAGGCGCACATTAAACCAACAATGAGATGTCATTGTTTACTCAGTCTGGCAAAGATTAATGAAAACAATAGTACTTACCATTGGCCAGGACAAGATGATTTAATTACCAGGTATGATGTTCTCACACATAGTGGATAAGAGTGTTCCTGGAATAGGAGGGCAATTTTTTCAAAGATAACACCAAAATGCCTCCGGTTAACCTTATAATGAACCTTCCACACATATATCCTAAGAAAATAATCAGAGAAATTTATCAAGATGTACTCACAACTATATTTTTCATAGGATTGTTAAAATGGCTTACACTGGAAACAATGCAACAAATATTCATTTCTAAAGGATGCTTAAATAAATTGCGATATCAATAAAATGGAATACTATGAACCCATTAAAATATGTGAATTTATATTTATTGCTATAATAGTAACTTTAAAAGAGATCTTTCTGTTTAAAACAGGTATCATACAGCAGGACTAGTATAAAACCTTTAAAATCTGTGACTGGAGCTGGATGGTATGGGCTTATAATAACCAAATGTTCAACATTTAGGAATTTTTTGAGCCAGTTGTCAAATTGTTGGTTATCTGAAATTGGCTTTAGTGAGAGTATTTAATCCATAGAAATTAGTAAACAGATGCTACATATTCATTCTTTCCTTATGCCCAAGTTGGTTTTCTAGCATGCCACTGTGGTCTTATATGTACAAGCACATGAATACATATATGTAGAAAACTTTTGGCAGAATATACAACCAAATAATTATCTTTAGAGCGCAGAATTATGTTTGGATGTATTGCCCCCTTTTTAAAATAACTTCACTTATTGCCTAAATGTATGTTAGGTATGTAATATCAGGAAAATAAACAATAGCTACCCAAATACTTGGAAGTTGAAATCAGTGATTCCCCAGTTTCCAGCATCAAAGTTTGCTAATATTGGATACCAGCCCCCAAAATATGTATATATTCTGATTCTTACTTGCTTTATGTGCTTATTTAAGCATTTCTGTCGATTACTGGCAACTCTCTATTTTATTTTTTGTGGTTTTGGTTTCATATTTAAGAGCTCATTTTTTACCAAGTACAATTCAGCAAGCTGTCAGCATTTTAATATTTATAGGCATGATTATCCACGTGTTTAACAAAAGAGTACTTCTTCCTTCCTCTGTCAACATTTCTTCATTTCTCCATGCAATAAACATATGTAGTATTGGGCTTACACGATGTGCCAGATATAATTCATATCACCATTATATTCACTAATCATTACAGTGATGAGTGACATCATATAGTGTTTTACCGTTTAAGAAAGCCTGCATTATTTCATCCTCAGAATAATGTTGTAAAATACAGGGTATCCCCAAAGCTGCCATATATAGGGAAAATGGGAAATTGTAGCTACATGTACCTTTATTTACAAAATATTCATTATAAAATTTTATAAAATTTTTCCTTTGTATAGAGACTTTGGAATACCCTGTACATCACTATTCCCATTTCACAAATAAGGAAGTATAGGCTTGGAGAGGTTAGGTGATTTAGACCCAGACTCAAGCCCTGTCTTCTATTCCCAAGCCTATTATTCTTTTTCCTGGCAGATCTGAGGGATCCCTACTCTTTTACTACTAAAGACAAGGTTTATTTTATAGTTTTTTCTGAAGACTCCATGTGTTGCAAGCATTAAAACCAGACACATCAGTCTTGCAGCCATCACTATAATCTAATTTTAGAAAATTACATCACCTGAAAAGAAAACCCTGTGTCCATCAGCAGCCAATCCTCATCCCCTTTCTCCCATCTTCTAGCCCAAGACAACCACTAATCTACTTTATCTGTATATGGATTGCCTATTCTGAACATTTCCTATAAGTGGAATAATATTATATGTGGATTTTTATGACTGGCTTAGCATAGTGTTTTCACTTAATGCAATGTTTTAAGGTACATCTATGTTACAACTTATATCAATACTTCATTACCTGTTATTGATAAATAATATTCATTAATTGTTCATTCATTTTTGATTGTTACCACTTTTTGGCTATCATGAATAATGTTGTTGTGAACATTTGTATACAAGTTTTTGCGTGGACACGCATTTTCATCTCTCTTCAGTATATACCTCTAAGTGGAATTACTGAATCATAGCCACTCTATGTTTAACATTTCAAAGAACTGCCAAACTGTTTTCCAAGGTGACTCTACCATTGTAAATGCCTTTTTGAAGTATTCGAATAGTGAGTGAATTTCAGGTTGGGTACAGTATCACAGCTTTATATAGAATGACTCCTTAAGGTAAAACACATTGCATCAAAAAAGAAGAGATCAATGGACATTTAAGTTGCTTCCTTGTCTTGGCTTGTGAATAAGGCAGCAATGAACATGAGAGTGCAGATACCTCTTTGAGATCCTGATTTCAATTGCTGTGGATGTATACCCAGAAGGGGGATTGCTAGATCAAATGGTAGTTTTACTTTTAATTATTTGAGTAACTTCCATACTATTTAACAGAATGGTTAAAGAAAATGTGACATATACATACAGTGGAATATTATCAATACAATGTACACACACACAATAAAATATTATTCAGCCTTAAAAAATGAGGAAATCCTACCATATAGGTGAACCTGGAGGACATTATGCTAAGTTAAGTAAGCCAGACACAGAAGGACAAATATTAATTGTCAAACTCATAGAAGCAGAGGGTAGAATGGTGGTTGCCAGAGGCTGAGCAGAGGGAGAAATGGAGAGGTATTAGTCAAAGGGTATGAAGTTTCAGTTATACAAGATGAATAAATCCTAGGAATCTGTAAGTGCCTATAGTTAACAATTCTGTATTGCAAACTTAAAATTTGCTAAGAGGGTGGATCTCATGTAAAATGTTCTTATCACCAAAATGATAAATAAATAAATAAATAGGACAGGAGGAAATTTTAGAGGTTATGGATATATTTATGGCATAGATTGTGGTGACAGTTTTCTGGCCATATATGTGTGTGTATGTGTGTATGCACACACACTCATTGAGTTATATATATAAATATGTACAGGTTTTTAGATGTCAATCGTACCTCAACAAAGTAGTTTTTTGTTTTATTTAAAAAAAAAAAAAGAAGCAGCAGAAGAGGTCATGGTGAGTTCACAGGTCTTTCTAGGACTCAGCCCCTTACTCTCTGATACAGGAGAGGAGCATCTGAGCATTTTCTTTTCTGTTAGCATAGAAAATGTAAATCTCAGTGCTGTGGGAGATGTCCTAGGTCAGGAAATGCCCTGGGTAATTCACAGTATATAATGCAGAGAAAAAATCCTGGATACAAGTCAAATCCTGGCTCCATGTGACTCTCAGTATCCTTATCTATAAAATGAAGATGATAATATCAGCCCTGCCTTTTTCGCTAAGTTTTTATGGAGATCCAGTGGGAGATTGTAATTAAAAGTTTTCTGTAACCAGCAAAAGCAGATAAGGAGGCATAAGCTCAGTTGAAACTGATGCCTCACATTTGGCATATGGGTAAGCATCAGTTAGTCTCTGTGTTATGAAATTAGGGTGGATATTTTCATGTTTGAAGGTGGGTGCATGCCTACAAGAATTTATATTTCTAAATGTGATTATAATGTTGCCCAGAGCGGTTTTTAGGAAATCTAGACTTTATTTACATATTAATTTTCTAAGAATTCAAAGGCAGGTAGTAGCATATTCTTCAAAACCTGTTGCATGAACACCCGCTTATGTTGCTATGGTTCTCTGCAGTGGATCAAAACTCTGGTTTTGATGACTCCAAATCAGTTGAGACATGTATTATTTTCCAATTGTAATTTGGAATATAATTGCAAAAGAAAGATGGGAAAAGGAAATTTATATATTCATTCAAAAGTGATTCATTGAGATATTTTAATGAGCCAGACATTTGCTTACCATTGGGGTAAACTAGTGAACGAAACAGACCCTGTTATTTTCTTCATGCTACTTTACATCCCCTGTGTTTTGTTTCTAAATGTCTCAGGGTCCCTGGCACTCACCATGACTCATGGATGGCATCATTACTGTATTTGCTTTAAGAATGGAGAGCAAAGTCAAGGTCAAAGTTAGGCTATAAAAAATGGAAATGAGGGGTAATATCATTGCTCTGTTGATAATTTACTGGGTAAATTTGAACAAGTTACTGAACTGCTCTGAATCTGTGTTTCTTTATCTGTACTTTTGTTTAGTTCTTTCTGACTCCACACTCTAGCATTCCATAATTGAAGTTGTAAGTTTGAGATTCAGGAGGCTCTGAACCAAGTTACCTTTCTTTTTTCTGTACATTTTCATCAGTCTATCTTAGTTCTTTTTTCATGTAATTCTGCCCACTCCTCTCCATCTAAACTATCAGCCTAGTCCACGCCACACCATCTCATCCTTGGACTTTTCTGCAGTAGCTAATAACCGTTTGTTCCTCCTCCCCTCTTACTCCCTGCAGTCCATTCGTCACATAGCAACCAGTGTTATCCACTTACAATGGTAAGATAAACCAGGTGCCTCTTCTGATGAAATCCCTGGAAGTATTTCCTCTTATTCTTAGAATGAACATTCAATTCCTTATTGTGGCCTATATGACCCCACATGTTCAGGTTCCTACCTGTTGCTTCAGCCTCTTCAATTCCACTGTCTTTCTTGTTCTTGCCAATTAAGCTTCCTGGGATTCTTTCAGATGTTCACATGCTGTTCCCTTTCTCCACTGAGTTCTTCCTTCACACAGTGCCCTCCAACTCTGCCCTTCACACCTTCATTCTACAGCTCTCAGCTCAAAGTCAATTCCTTAGGGATTCCTTACTCCCTCCCTCCCTAAACACTGGCAGCTCAGGCTAAGTAAGATCTCTGTTAATATAGCCTTCCATATTACCCTGTAGTTCTTTCTCTTGGTACTCATTCCAATAGCAATTGTTATCAATTGTGTAATTATTCACTTAACTGCTTGGCTAATTAACTATTTAATGTCTGTCCCCTTTTCTAGAATGAAATATCCTGGGGGACAGGCAGCATTTTATTCACTTCTGTATCTTTAGTGCCTAGAAAAGCCTCTGCACTTAGCAAGTGCTCAGTAAATACTCAGTGAACGAATGAAGGGATATAATAAATGGCTAACATTTCATTCTTTATACCCACTATGAATTTATTTTGTATGGGAGAACACATCATGTATGTCAAGGAGTTCTGAGGGAAACACTGACTTTTATTTCTATGCAGTTATCAGCCTCTGTTTTTCCCATGAGCTTCCTCTTTCCACCTCATTTAGAAACAAATATCCATCAAAGTTTGTGTGCTGGGCACTGTGTTGGGTGAGCAGGACTCAACTCTCTTTGAGCTCACAATCTAGCAGGGAATCAGCCAACAACTTGAATAACAATAATGCAAGGTAGAAAGTGGTTAGTGTCAGAAAAGAGGCCAGAGAAACTGCTATGGTGGTTTAGAAGTAAGAGAAATTGCTTCAAACTGAGAGTAGCCATCTGTATCCAGAGGCATAGTGTTCAATTTAGGCTTTGAAGGATAGTGGGGTTTGACTACTAGAGATGGATGGGAAAGGGCAATGCAGAATGGGTCTATGGGCAAATGATTGTTCTCTCCCATTTGTTACGAATAAAGCCAGGTCTCTAATTAAGAAGCAGGAGCTGTACCTTTTTAAAATTATTTTTATTTTTCGTTTTCACTCTTATATATAATCAAATTAAGTTTTTTGATGTATGAAGTCTATGAATTTTGACAAATGCATGCAACCATGTAACAACCAACACAATTAAGATATAGAAAAATTCCCTTTATCCCCCAACATTTCTCTCATGCTGCCACTGTGCAGTCAATTCTTCCAAACCCCAGTCCCTATCAATCACCTATCTGTTTTCTGTTCCTATAATTTTGTTTTCCAGAATGTCAGATAGATGGAATCAAACAGAACTGGATTCTTTCACTTGCCATAATGCATCTGAGATGCATGAACATTGTTGTTGTATGAGAAGTCCATTTCTTGTTGCTGAGTAGTATTCTATTGTGTGGATATACCACAGTTTGTTTATTCATTCATTAGTTGAAGGACATTTGACTGCTTCAAGTTTGTGGCTATTACAATTAAGACTGCTATAAACATCTATGTACAGGCTTTGTCTGAATATAAGTTTTCATTTCTTATAGGTAAATGCCTAGGATTGATATAGCTAGGGTATATGGAAAGTGCATGTTTAACCTGATAAAAAGCTCCCAAATTGTTTTACAAAGTGGCTTTATTTCATTTTGCATTTCCATCATTAATAAATGGAGAGCCCATCTGCTGCACATTTCACCAACACTTGATATTTTCCAATTTTTAAATGTTAGCCATTCTAATAGGCATGTTACAGTATCTTATGCGATTTTTAATTTGCATTTATTGCTGGGCATGGTGGCTCACACCTGTAATCCTAGCACTCTGGGAGGCCCAGTCTGGAGGATTGCTTGAGGTCAGGAGTTTGAGTTCTGCATTTATCTAATGACTAATGATTTGGGACATCTTATATGCTTATGTTTCATATGCATATCTTTTTTGATGAAGTATCTGTTAAAATCTTTTGTTTATTTTAAATGAGTTTGTTTTCTTATTGAATTTTGAGAATTCTTTATATATTTTGAATGTGAGTCCCCATTGAATAGATGATTTATAAATATTTTCTTCTCATCTGTATTTGTTCTTTGCTGCTAACCTTTAATTTTTATGGTTATTTTAAAAGTCCTACACTCAGGCCCTCCATTGGATCTACCACTATTCTCTTCTTCACTCAGTATGTTTACAGAGCTTCTTGGCTTTTTCAGACACACAGTGAGGGGCTATGAAGATGAAAAGGACCATTGTCCTCTTAACAAGGAGCCTTTAGGAGGTTGGAAAGAGAATCCAGGTATCCCATTATCTGTAACCTATAGAATAATGTCCTGAGTGCCATAGGGCTATGTAGACAGTGTGTGGTACTGCAGAGCATTGTCATTTATTGAGGTTTCAGGTTATTAAAACACTTTGAGGTCAGGCTCCCCAGGAGAGCAACAATAAAGAATGTGGATAATTAGGCTCCACAAACAGTAATAAAGTGGAATACAGCCCCATGTATTATCTTTGATGATGATGGGGATTAGGGGATGAAAAAGGAGCAGGTACCAGGCAATGCAGTCTTTCTCATCTTGATAAATCACAGTCCCCCACTCTAACAGTTGTACAGCAAAAGGACCACCTCAAAAGCCATTAGCCTCATTGCATGTCCCCATGCCCTCAGCCCAGGTTGCTGTAATTGTCTCTTTCGACTTCATTTGTGGTTTGTATAAGTAAAAGCAGAGATAACAAATGGATTAAGAAATTCCATTCTTGACACATGTGGAATTGCACATGTGTGTGACCCATCAGACAGATTCAGGGCACAAACATAGTTTCAACTCATCGTATATCTCTGCTTACAGTTAATATATGTCACTTAATTCTTCAAGTACCATCAGTGACTCTCAGTTGCTATCAGAACAAAGTCTGTTCTGACCCCGTATGACCCTAGTCTACTGTTCTCATGCTCTGCTAACTCATCCCACACCCTGTGACTGATAGACTGACTAATCATAGCTTCCATCAGCCTGGTCTCCTCCCCTTGTATCTGTCAATGCATGTTCTATTCATTTTATCAGGCTTAAATCAGATACTATCTCTTCTGTGAAGGCACCAATGAATTCCAGTCCACTTGAAGTCACAATTAAGATCTCCTTCTGCTCTCTTAAGACATGTTACATCTTTTTTCTTTTTAGCATTTGCTTCATTTTGCTTTGCATTGTGATTTTTTGCTTGATGGTCCACCCTCTTTAGATAGTGAGAGCTTTGAAAGCAGAAACTATGTCTTCCTTATATCTTTATCCCCCATTAAAGCCTATTATAAACTGTTGTATGTGGTAGGTTCTCACGGAGGGTTTATTGATTGAAGGACATGACATAACCCACAGTTCACCTTGCTTTGTGACCCAGACAGAAGAGGTGTCTGAGTGGCTGATAGTTGTAACCGGAGATGACAGGGTGATCTGATGTGTTCTAAGCAAAAGCAGTCCTGTTTCCCTATTGGCTATGATTATTCTCTCCTGTCTGGAATAGAAAAAGCGTGATTTGATTTTGAGTCATAAGCAACCCGACTCTAATTGTGTACCTTAAACGCCTCCCATTGTTCTGCTTAAGGTGATTTTCTACCAGCATGAAATGTTCTCCTTCTCAGACAGTTGATGGAGGAGCTGAGTCATGCCTGACTATACTTAATAAGACAGAGGCAGCTAACGCCCGAGGGAGCTTCCTTCGAGGACAGGCTGACATTTCTGACTCCTCTGCTTTTTAAAAGTGCGTGTTGTGAAGGAAAGTTGAGCATGAAGGTAGCTTCAGAGTCTCCATTGGAAACAGGACTATATAATGGCATTCTCTAATTCAGACAGATGTGATTTGCCCCATTGCCTCTTGGCTATAACATGTGCCTTCTGATTCTCGGAACTGCTAATCAAGGATTTTATGCCGGTTATTAGACTCTCACTCACTTTGTTCCACTGTCTATTAATGAGTGCCTGCCCACCCCTGCTGTTTTCTCTGAAAAACTGGCTTGATTTATATTTTTCAGATTCAGGCTAGAAAATATTCTTGAAGTTAGCATTGATTATAAACCTATCACATTACAGAGATGGAAGGGCTTATAGATCATCTGGTTTTACCGTCTTACCTTAGACATGAGAAAATGGAATCCCAGAGAAGGAAAGTTACTTGGCCACAGTCAATATTAAATCTTAGACTCTGGAAGAGGCAGATCTGCATTAGAATCCCTGTGCCACACTTATTTGCTGTGCATTATCCACTTGTATATATATCCTTTAACTCACCTAAGCCTCACACTCCTTATTTGTTAAGTGGGGACAATAATAAAACTTTCTGAAAGAGTTCTTATGGGGATCAAAAATGATATTAATGTAAAACGCTTAATTACTGGCACGTAGAAGACATTCAATATTAAGTGATGATAGTAGTAGTTATTAATATAATAATATTGATGATAACACAAGTGAATTAGGGCAAGGAATCAGTTTGACCCTTTACCATTGTTCTCCGTAGAGAATACTACAAGATGTACCTCAGAAACTATGTTTCATTGTGAAGAAGTTTAAACAGATCTATCTAAAGGTGAATTTTTATATTCAAAGAAAGGATCAGTAGTTAGTTTGCTATAGGAGAGAAGGAAAGAACATGGTTTGAGATGTTTGTCAACATAAAGAATAAAATTGAGTGGAGTATTTGAGGAAAGGAATTGTATACAGTACATAAAGTCTCCGAAATACACACAAAAAGGCTGAGTATGACTTGAGAGCCTGAGGAGGCCAGTGGAGAGAGAACGGGTTCAGCAATCAGAAGACAATACTGCCTCAAAGCGCATGGAAATAAAAGGCTGTGATACACCTTTCTAAGCATCCGCCTCCATTGTCCATTTTTCCACCAGGCAGGGAACTGCCTGCAGTATTAGGAGACTGAAGTCTCTAGGGATGAGTGTTCTGGACTTGACAGGGGTGCCCTGGAATACACCTGGACATACATTTACTAGAGATATCTACCTGGCCAGTTACAGTTGTGCTGTGAAGCTCCCAAGAGCCCTCTTTGTATGACTGCAGGCCCTTTTGATGATCTTTTGCCTACTTTTCTTATTTTTCTACTTTCCAGTAATTATTTTGCTTTTCTTCAGTGACAGAACATTCATAGTATATCCGCTGGTTGAGTGTGAACAGAGAGGGAATGTGTGCACCATGTTAAAGAGGAGCTGACAGCAGCAAAGATTATGTAAGAGATTCTAAATCTGATTTTTTTCCTAGAGTATTTGCTTTTGCTTCATATATGAAAAGTACATTCTCCTGTTTTGCTTCCTTTGTTTTAATATCTCTGGATTTCAGAGAAGATGGTTTATAGTTTCTGTTTTCTCTTTACCAATAAATATATGAGGCAAACATTCTCAACCTTAAGATTATAGTGAGTCAGTGGGCTGAAGATAAGTGTTCAACCTCTGACATTCCAGAAGAAAAGATAAACGAAGACTGATGTAAGTGTAATAAAATCTCTCTTTTGCAGTTGGTTTTGTTTGCATAGGTAATGTTTGTGATACGGGCCAAATAACTAGTAATAACTAGGAAACTGGGAGATTTTCATCCTGCCTCTGCCACTAACCTAGTCTTTAACCTCAGGCATTTCCAACCCCTCTGATCTCAGACCATAATCTGTATAATGTGCCAAGAGACTGGATGATTTCTGAGGCCCCCTTCCACCGCTAACGTGCAGTGGTTTTTCTAAGATGCATCATGGGTTAGGGGTTACTAAACTATTCAGAAACTTGGCACAGGGTTTTATCTCAGCATTTACTCTTTCCAAGACCTCCTCCTTCCCTTGGGAGGTGACACTGTTCTCTAGGCAAGTGACCACTGAAAACCTAGCCACTCCGAACCCCCACCTTTTGAATTCTTCCTGCCAAAAGCCATCCCATCATCATTCACTGGCAGACATATATCTAATCCCAATTTCTCATGTTCTTAGCTTTTGATGTTTGGTTCACCCAATTTTCTCTCAGAATCTTTTGTTTTCTGCTTGTCACTACCAGCCTTCAAGAAAAATTTACATGCTTGACACATTATTAAAATTGAATGAGACTGCACTGACATTTCACAGGTGATGCCTCTGTTAAACACAGTGGCAGGATTGTAGCCTGTGTCTCTTCCTGTGGCAGGTGATGAAGATCATAAGCTTCCTTTTACTCCAGGCAATTTCCTGAGAATTGCTGGGGAGGTTGCTGACAAGGCTCAGTACTTTCCTTTGTAGTTGTGCATGGAATATGACTGCATATCTTGAGGCAGGAAAATTGGATAGCTCTTAATTGAAAGTTGAAAGCTCCTGATGTACTTTTACTGAAAGAACCTCTCTGACCCCTCAACTGAGAAGTGACACATGGTGTTGGAGAGTATAGAGACCTATTGAGTACCCGGAGGGCTTTAAATTTACATCATACTGTTGAGTGGAAAAGTGATCGCTGAGATATTTCTGCTAATTAAGAAGTGAGTCCATGCTTAACCTGCTTTCTACATTTTATAACTCAAATCTTAATTTCGAGTTTCTTGTCCGTGGCTCTGATAAAATGCAATAAAAACTCAAAAACAGACAGACAAAATATTTCATTTTCCCTGCTGACTGTCTTTCTAGGTCTTGATTTCCTCATCTGTAAAAAATCAACATCATAATTGTAGCTTAAATTTATTAAGTTTTTACCATTTATTAGAGTCTCTGTGACGTTTTCATGTATGATCATGTTTACCACTAATGACAGCTCTATAAGGTAGGCACTTTTATTACCTTCATATTTAGTTTCATGTATTGTTACATATGAGGAAACTGAGGTACAGGATTCTTCTTTTCAGGTGTCACACCTGTAGGCAGCATTGCTACCTAGCTTACTTTCAGCCTCAAGGACAAGACCCATGTATCAGCTTCTTCACTTGTAAAATGAGAGGGACAAGAATAATAATTGTATGGCTTGACCATATAGAACACATGCAAAGTTATCTTTTATGGCCCACTATTAACATTATCTGTTCCAGTCTTGCTAGGTTTGATTCTTAGCCTCTTTCATTGTCTGTTTTGAGAAAGGATGCACTATTGTACTATTTATATTCCCAATACCCAACCCACTGGAAATATGTGTTAGATATGTATATCGAATATATATTTTACTGGGATGGTGTAGTAGAAAGAACGAAAAAATTTAGATCGAAAAGGAATGATTCTTATACTTGCCACTATTGAGCTCTGTGTTATTTATCAAGTTAACTCTCTGGGTTTAGTTACTCCATTTGAAACATGAAAGGATCTTTCTAAATGTTTTAAAAACTCCTGTAGTCCAATACTCTCAACCACTTTGCTAGAGGTGAGTCCCCATAAGGTAAACATCAACACTATTTGTTGAGCAATATTCCATTTGAAATTGACTATACTCAGTTTGGAATTGAGAAAGAGAGAATTATAATATTAACAATAGCAAGGACTATGTGAACAGCTCTCTATAAAACACCTTACAAGTATTGTCTCATTTAATATTCAAACCAGTTTTCTTACACATGAGAATATTTAATTTACTTACACATGGCTAGGAAGTGGCAGAACAAGGATTAGAAATGGGATTGTCAGAGATTTGCCATTATATACTTCCTAGGAAAAGTAGTTTTGGGATATAGGAGAACTGATTTGGTCCTTCCCAACCAATATCATATATTGTTGTCCCACTTGCAGACCTGTCCTTTGTGCTCTCTGGCTGCATTCATATTGCCTGTAGAATGGGGACATTACCAGCTATGCTGCTAGAACTGGAAGCTGCAACTAGATTTAAGACTCATCTGTTCTGGGACTGTATGGTAAAGTGTAAAATGCCTTTGCTTCCAATGTTGACAATATGTTTCTTAAATAGAAATTTGAAGGCAGAGACCATATTTTTTGGTAGATTTTGCTTATAGCTCCTAGCACTCCTAGGACCCTGAGTAAATAGTATGCAATAATGAGAATAAAGAGAGCAAAAGCTGCTTGATTATTATATGAGAATAGTAATTGGATCTTTACATCTTAATCATGGATTAGAAAAGATTGCTTGGAGGATAAAACACACACACACACACACACACACACACACACACACAAAACCAGCTAATGACTACTTAGAGTTTTCCCAGTGTACTGTTCCACACTTGACTTAAGCCAGTTTATTTATTGTCACAACATCCCTGCAAAGAAAATCATGCCTTTCAGCTGCATGAGGATGTTCATTACAGTAATTTTTTTTTAAAAAAAGGAAAATAATGAACCATGGTACAGAGGCAGCATACCCAGAATCCATTCTGTAGCTTGCTAACCCCTCGTGCCACTTTGATGAGAGAAGCAGAGCCTGTTCTAGGTGGCTGTTAGATGATGCTATTCCATTATCTTCCCTATTATGCACAGCAGCAGGAAGGGTGGCTACTGGACCCTTCTTGGACATTAACACATGATGATTCAGGGTCTGTTTGTTGGTGCTTCAAAACCTAGATATGAAGCAATTTGATGGAGACTAAGAAAGAGCCTAGAGACCTTCAGCAACTTCTTTAGACCTGGGAACTCTAAAATTCACTAGAAAACCCAGGATTTTTACTGAAGTCTCCTACCACAAGAAAAACTTTGTAGAAAGTGACACCCATGTTCACAAACTTAGAGTGGACCTCAGCATGGCAGGTACTGAATTAAAACCGAACTCTTCAGAAATCCTAGAATATTCATCCTTTAGTAACAGACTACGAAAGACCCAACTCTATGTCATCCTTTAGATAATTTCATTTTGTAACTTTAAGTGTGACCTACTATAGTTCTAAATTTAAACTTATTAGGTTTGGTTGTTTTCATCTGTGGGGGTTCACTTTCCTTTTTCACTTCTTCCTTTTCTTCTTTCTTTCTTGGTTTTCATGTTTGCCTGGTAATGATTTCTCTACACTTTTTTTTTAACTAGAAAGGCCTGTCACTTCTAATTAATATAAAATGACAATCTTTAGGGCAGTATAAAGATAAATACCCAGTGTCACAGGGAGAGGTATTATACTGTTGGGGATAAAACTTGTTTTAGGATCAATCTTTAACAAAACCGAAGCTGTGGCTTGTGGATTTTCCCCCCACCCCAACCCTTTTCTTGATTTTTGGCATTCATTCCTAATCTGGCAAATCTTATCATCTGTTATTCTAGGCTCAAGGCTATTTCCTATTTTCTTCAAATTACTTAATCAAGAAAACTCCTTTTTCTTGGTGGGAGTAAGGTATGTCTAATTATCTGGTCCAGGAAAGCCATCTGGCAAGTTATGAGCCCAGTGTTATTGAGCAGTACTAGCAGCATGAGGATGCATGATAGATAGATGCTCACAGACACTCCAGCTCTCCTCCCCCCCTCCCCACTTCTCTCCCTTCTTTTGATGGCTTAGTTGACAGATATGAATTTCAGAAACATTTTCTAGATCTTGGTTCAGTAGCTCTTTCCTGCATAACAAAATCTAAGTTTTAATAGTATTTCCTCTATAAATCATACTCTAGGTGAATGGTGTTTGTAGGTTTTTAAAAAATTGGTGGTTTATTATAGGACAGTGCTAGAAAAATATCCAGATATTTAAATATTTTTTTCATTGAAAAACAAAAGGGAATATACTTTTAAATGTAAATGTTAATCAAAAAGACAGACTCATGGGGTGAATAGAACCTCAGCCATTGTTCAACTACCCACTTATTTGAACAGATGAAAATGGACATTATTATCAATGAGGATAATGATCAGCTGTGAATAGGAGACTCAAAATAATAGTTGTTTAAACTAATTTTTCCAACTTTAATAGGCATAGGGATTGCCTGGGGATAGTTAAGATACACATTCTAATTTAGTAGGTCTGGATGGGGCCTGAGAGTCTGCAGTTCTGATAGACTCTCAAGGGATGCCGATGATGCTGGTGGATTGTGTGGCCCACACTTTAAGTAACAAGGATCTAAGAAAGTTTATTTCACATAAAGTCCAGAAGTAGAAAATTTAGGGCTAGTAAGGCAATTACTTAAGTTATTCAAGGTCCCACCTCCTTTCACTTTCAGATTTCATTATCTTTAGTGTATGACCATAATTATTATGGGCCATGATATAGCTCCAGCCATCACATCTGTGTTCCAAGCAGCAGGATGAAAAAAAATGGGATGGTAGGAGGAGCCCAGGAAACATAGGAATATGCCATTGTCTCTCAAGGAAAGTTTTC